GTTTGTTTTTAAAAAGATGTTTTTTCCCAACTGTATTTTATACACACAGACAATCTTAAAGTTCTTCCTCAGAACGCAGAGGTAGAAAGCTTTCTCCCAGGACAACGGGGTGATTCCTGGGAGAACTCAGCTATTCCCAGCAGCGTGAGAGAGATGTATGTGTCTTGTAGTAGCCATAATTGCTTGGGGCTCATTTTCTACCAAGTAATTCTTTGGCTTGTAATCACTGAAGGGCTGTAATTTTTTTGGTTGGTTGGTTTGTTATTGGGATGGCAGTGGATAAGCAAGCTGTGTTTCCTCTCGGGTGTAGAGATGTGTTTCTTTTTGCTTCCAACTTGCCCTCTCCCCCCCGCCCAGTTATGGTCCGCACTTGTGCTTACTACTTCTACACTGACTGCTTCCTTCGTTCTCTGTGTTTACTCTGCAGAGAGCGCGTAGGACTAAAAAAATACATATGTACATAGAATACTTTTTAATTCTCCTATTGTGGCCATGAATTTCCCCCTCAACCAGTTGGGGCCCACAAATGCTCTAGTTGATGTCTTTTTCCCTGTCCAGGTTTACGCACACTGTGCCAGTGGTGTTTACGTTCTGCACTGATGCAGTTAAGTGTGATCATGAAGAAAAATACTGTTTGCTTCAGCCTGAAGATCAGCAGTTTTTGTGAACAATTGCATGGATCCGCTAATATAATAGTTTTAGTGTCCTTCCCAGATGCAATAGAATGAACTGTGATTTTTTTCATGTATTCATATGTAAATCATAGTTGTCTGTACCTATATATATACATATGGTTTCCCTTGAATGTTTGGTATAGAAAGAAAATTATTAAATAAGCTAATCTTTAAGATACTATTCATCCATTCATGAAATTATTAATCTGTTTATAAAACCATACACAAAAATTAAAGATGTCCAAACAAATTGGATTATATTGAAAGACAAAATTTTAAGTGCTAAATGTGAGATATATTATCAAGCCCTGTGAGGAATCAAGTGAACGAAACTCAAGGATGCACACCTTCAACAGATTTTTCCCGGTAATGCTTTTTAGCCAGGTTTTTAAATAAATATTAATTTTAAAGGGTTGTTCCAGGATAAAATAGCTCACCTTTAATAAAGTGAGATTTGTTTTTCAAGCTGGAAAACACCTCCTTTATGTCCTTATCCTTAGCATTCTGTGCCTGTGAAATAAGGTGAGGAAAATGATAAGAAAATCAAGAAGAAGATACACCTTAAAGGTCTTACAGCAAATTTGTTATTCTAGTGCTGTATTTTCTTGCAGCATTTTTCTGTCAGATCTCTCAAGTGATCAGGATACTTTCCAGTTTTTTGTTTTATGTGTGTTGGTTTTTTTTTTAATGTTGAAGCTTAGTGAATTAGTACATGAGGGTTAAAGTATTACTGTTTTGTGCCTCTCTTGTGTCTAGCAACATTGTAGCATTAATGAAAATCATAATGAAATTTAGGGGGATATTAAGACTCTATAGGACTGAAGTTCTTCCTACATGTTTGGGTAAATCTGTAGAATCATTGCAATAAAATAGTTTTATTGTGTATAATTTTACTTAGCAATTTTATACAGTTGCATTCATAGTCTTCTGACTCTATAGAAGAATATAATACAAATTCCATTTAGTAACATTCATCTAATTCTAGTGGTTTTTTTTTTTCTTCTTCTCTAGGGTGTACCTCAGTTACCATGTGCCAAAGCATTGTATAACTACGAGGGAAAAGAACCTGGAGATCTTAAATTCAATAAAGGAGACATCATCATTTTGCGTCGACAGGTGGATGAAAATTGGTATCATGGAGAAGTCAATGGCATCCATGGCTTTTTTCCTACCAATTTTGTTCAGATTATTAAACCTTTACCTCAACCTCCGCCTCAGTGCAAAGCACTTTATGACTTTGAAGTAAAAGACAAGGAAGCAGATAAAGACTGTTTACCATTTGCAAAGGTAAAAACAGAATAAAACTTATTATTTTCTTTTAATAATTTCATTCACTTGGATAAGAAACAATAAGACTGTTCTGTAGTCTTGTCTGCATTTTTTTTTTAAATACGAAAAGGGCAAGTAGTTCTGCAGGTATTTCTCCTATGTTGTTTAGTTTTGCCTGCTTTCTCTTCCTAAATTACAGATAATTTCTCTGAGGTTTTGTTTTTGAGAATGCAGTTTTTCATAATTGCAGTAGTAATGGTCTTAATTTATGAGAAATAACCTATGTTATGAATTAAGTGTTCCATCTTCGAAAGAAATGCTTATTTTAAATTTTTGAGTTGGTACTGTTTTCAGCTTTGCATTTAGTCAGTGACATTTTTAGGATCTAGATACTAGGCACAAAGTACTACTAAACTTTGTCGTTCTATAGTATTACTAATTGCCTTTTGGAAAATATGATGTTTCTTCTGTTCTTGTTTCTATTGTGATTAATTTTCTGTTTTGCAAGGCACATAATGATACAGAGTTTTAAAAGGAATCCTTTTTTCCAGTCTGATTCTTTAGTTTATCAAATTGCACAAAAATGTTGCAAGATCAAATGTGAGCTCATAGCTTTTCTACCCTTGCCTTTTGAAAATGAAAAGGATGGCCAAAATTCTAAAAAAGAAGGATATTAACATGTGGACGGACAGTGGTTATTACAAGACAGAACAGCAGTACTGTTGAGGATGATTGGCATTAGCTTGCATATTTTGATTAACTTGTTGGCAAACTGTTTTGTTTTTTTCAAATCTGCACTGTTGCTTGAGTAAGCTTATCTGTTTCCAAATATTTTAACTTGCGTATGGAACAATTACATATCTCGTATAAGCGAGAGCAGTGTCTAATGTGCACATCAACCCTTTTTTTATGTAACGTTCTCAAAACCATATCTATCCCAAATGCTCCATGTAGATGTGAAAGAAATCATATCACTTACCAGTGTTCTTGAGTACTTAAGTAGGAAAGCAACATCTAGGGAAGAGGAGGTAATGAGTCAGTTGAGAAGGAAAAAGATTGTAGTTCTGTTGATGAATACCAGGGACTTAAAGGGGGATTGATGAATACCATGGATTGAACACAGCGGGAAGCCTGGCAGTAAGGGTGAAGTCAGATGGCTGAGACTAGCTGTGGACAGTTAGCTGAACTCTGACAGAATAGGAAAAGGAAGGCTGGAACTGACTTCAACCCCCAAAGCGGCATGTTCCTTTTACAGAGTGCCTTCTCTGCTGTTCTTGTCCATGTACCACCTTCTCTGATTACCTGTGCGTAATGGAGGGAAATTAAATTAGAAGTTTAATTAGAGCTCGGAGACATAATCACTGCATGTTCACACAGGATGATGTTCTGACTGTAATTCGCCGCGTGGATGAAAACTGGGCAGAAGGAATGCTGGCTGACAAGATAGGAATATTTCCAATTTCATACGTTGAGGTGAGTAAAGTTGGGCCCTCAGTAAGGTTGTGCCCACTGTGTATTTCATCTTCTAAAAGGAAAAATAATCAGTACTGGTGATGATTCTAAAATAACCTGAGGTATAAATAGTCTAAGACCTAAAATAATCTAAGATCTGTGTGCTTAGTTTGGGAAGGTTAATTACCTCAGCAGTTGAACCGCTGATTTTTACTTAGCTATTTGATACCTGTTTTCATTAAATAGAATTGGAATGAAAGTACTTAGAGGCAGTCACTGTGTTTTCTTGTTAATATTGGAGTCATGCAGTCAATCACAAACCACACTTAACTGCAAAATGAAAGCAATCAGCAAGTCAGAGAAATTGTAATCTTTGCACTGTCCTTTATACCTGCCTCTCAAAACCAAATTAGCAGAAGAAAGTCAGAGAATATAGGCTGTTGTTAAGCAGGTAAAGCATTGACATTTACATCCAAAAGACCCTTATGTAAAATCTTCTGTGTCTTCCTGCATTTCTCATACGTGATATGATAATTTACAGTGAGAGGTGGCAGTTGAGAGTTTCCCCAACCTTTTAAGGTTTACGAGTTGAAAGACATAGGTGATGTGATTATGTGACAGTGATTATTAAAACTTGCATTACAGAAAGATATAGAGGTTTGGAACAGTGTTTGTCTTTTTCTGATAGGTATGCTATGGATACTTGGTAAGGTACACTTCTCCCACTGAAGAGATTTCATTTAAATAAGTGAGGCATAACAGTGAAAAAAAAAAAGTATTTTCACATGACCTGTGGGATGACAATATGTACCTCAGGTCACAGAAGAAATGTGTAACCATACTAAGAATCAAGTCAGGTTTTATTAATTCAATTTCTGAATACCCTGATGAGATGGGAACTTAATTCAAAATTGCTATGTTCAGCCAACATAGAATTTTTTTTTTAAGGGAAGATATGTCTATTCATTTTTATAGGTTGATGTAAGGATCTGTATACCTGGGGATAGAAATTTTCACATGACTGAAAAAACAGCAATGAAAGGGTTTCAACCTGCTTAGTGCAATTCTGGCTTCAGTTTAAGAAGTTTTTTTTAAGAATTTAAGAATAACTTCAATTTAAGAAGTTCTTGCCCCTGGCTGTTCATTCCTAGCTCCTTGTAATTAACTGCCCCTTCAGTTCAGCCAGTAAAGGTTTTTGTGGTGCTTTTTACAACAAAATCACTTTACTTTGCCAAGTTAGAGAAAGCCCTTTCCTTGGGCTGCTGCTTGGGCTAACTATTTTGATAACAACTCTGTTTCCATCTCCTACAAAAGTTTGCAAAACAGAGATATACTCTTGGAAAAAAATACATTAAAATGATACTCAGTCACAAAATGTATTTCACTGTTGATGTTTTTAGACAAATTCCATAAGAAAACATATCTTCAGTTAACCCTTTTAGAACAGGTACAAGCACTTGTGTACACACTCACAAACCCACACGAAGATGATATGGGAAATCTAGAGTGATAAATAATACCCAAAGAGATATTTCAGATCAGATAGAGATCAGATAGGGGTTTTTTTCAGTATATACTAAACTGAAACATGTTGTCATGAAGAGCAGTGAGATACGCAGGAAACTATCAATTTGAATTTTGAAATACCCATTTTCTGAGATTATATAACTGTTGTTCTGGATAATATGCAAGAGTTGATACAAACAAGTATATCAAACCATTCTTACTTGTGTTGTTAAGACAGACGCCAAAGATGAGAAGTAATTCATATTTTTGAGGCATCTTTATATAGTTTTTTTAGTTCTATTTCCCAGTCCTGTAATCATTGCCTATTTTTGTCATAATGTGTACGTTAGTCCACATCCTTTTTCTTTTTTTTTAATGTGCATTAGTAGCCGCATTTACTGGAGATTTTCTGAAGTCATTAACTTTAAAATGAGTGTAGTCTGTGATGTTTGTTCTGTAGTATAGGTCTGAAATTTGCAATGTTTCCTGTACGATGAGGTCACAGAATAAACTTTAGGTATGTTGAAGTCCATGAAAAATTCTGATTATATTTGAGGACAGCTTGTTACCTGGAAGACCATTTTATGATTCAATGATTGCTTGATTGCTTGTCTGCTCTATTCTTTTATATCACTTTCACTTACTAAATTTGTGGTAATAATAAAAGCTAAGATCGAAAACATTTGGGAGGAATTTTTATAGTGATTCCATTAAAAGTATAGTTTGTTAACTGAGTCACAAAACATTACGTCTTTAGCTGTAAACACCTAGCATTGTGAAATAATTACTTCTATCTGTAAATTAAAAATAAATAATGCAAAACATTGCAAAAAATTAAATTTTGCTTTCTAAGAAGTGCTAAAACCAAAGCAGCCCTCCAGTTCTACTAGAGTAAGACTTGATTTAACATATCTAAATTACTGGACTTTTGACTGATGGAATTTCAACACCCTTGCATTAAAAGCAGGTCAGCCAGGCTCTTGCACAGTGACGAAATATGATGCAGTGAGTCTAGAAACTGTATGGTTAAGTTCATAACACTCTTGTTTATCTCTGTTCCAAAAAGAAAGATTAATCAGAACTAAACAGATACTATTGGAATTTTTCTATGTGGAGTATAGTTCTGGATACAATATACATTTCTTAGAAAAACCTCAAATTTGACATTTTGATGTGGTTTAACACTTAGTAAACACACCGCAAATGTAAAAAGTATTTAAATTTTTACAAGTTATTCATCACTCATACAGAATAAGTAGAAAATACAAACGCCCAGAATAGCAGAAGAAAAATCAGGGAAAAGGAATCACTTTTCAATCAAAGCGTCAGTAGAAAATAACAACTTTTGTTTTCCCAAGTTAACGTGAACAACTGGGAAACACCTTTGTGTTTGGTATATACTTATACCAAATATAAGT